ATTCACCGGCAGATGGTTCCGAAAACCCCCGGGATTTACTAGAGGGGAGAGCTGATGACGCGTCCGAAGACGAGCTCTTGCGTCCCCTCTTCTCGTCCCTGAGAATCGAAGGCTTTTCAATTTTGGAGTAGTCCCAGTCCGGACCTGGCTCTTTGGATTTACCATGGATGCGTATCTTCTCGCGAAAAGACACGTGTTCTTTGTCCGAGCACTCTGTAAGTTTGGCTATATTAGGTAAGTCAGCTTCCAGAAAGCTTTTATCATCGTCGCTATTTTCTTCCAGGTTAGCCGAGTCCTTTCCAGGACCACTACCAATATTTAAAACCCTATTAATTTTTTCTCCCATATTTTCTGACTCTAAAAAGTCGGTAATTTCGTGTACTTCAGTCGGGACAGGATGAACATCAACTGTCACTGCATGGTGGTAATCTGCTCGATCGTCGCCTCCGTCGGGATACTCCGCACACTGATGCGCGTGCCCAAACCAAATGGCCAAATGGGGTATCAATCTCGTTTCCTATCGTAGATAGGAACTTGTCACGATTTCCTCCATCTGCCGCCTGGAAGGTAATATTCCAAGTTCCCGATATGATTGGGAACACTCCTTCAACAAGTGACCTGAAGGGTCGAAGCTGCTCAACCGACGAAAAAAAGTTGGTAAAAGGCGGCGACAGTGGGGATGTCCTGGCGATGTTGTGGCGTCATTTGACTCCCCACGTTGAACTTCGATTCTCTTCACGTTCGCGACGCTGCGACACTTGAGAAGAGTGGTTTGGCTGCCGAAGAAGAAGAGGTCTGCGGGTCAGATGGTCCAGTTACCGGTCTGCCAGGTACACTCTTACTGCCGAGAGGCAGGTGTGTCCTGGCAGACATCAGGATCTTTACGAAGAGACTATGGAAGAAGTGTAGGACCCCAGATGTTACTCAAATAAAAGTTATTCAGGAAACCTACTACAAATAATCAAACTGCAGGATATTAAAAACGAGCTAGATATTATGGTAGTAGTAGAAATTAGGGCTATTAACTAACAAAAGTTTATAAACTAACAAAGCAAAAAACAAAAGCGGTAACGGTTCAATATATAAAAATCGTTACGGAAATGCCGGGGTGGCCTCTAAGAAATTCCCAAGGGGGAGAGGCCACTCCTAATACATCTGAACCGAAGCGGGCTGGCAAAGCCTCTGAATGGCAGTAATAAAAACTACCAGATGTTCCGTCGCAATTGACCAAGGCCACAACTCATCTTGATCAAATAGCGATGGTATACGTCGGGATCGCCATTTTTAGGGAATAAATTAGTATTTTGCTGGTATTTATGTTGTTTGCTGTCTGATTCTGTTTTCCTGATCTTATCTGATGAAGACATACTTCTGGTTTCGAATACATGTATTTCAATTGTATAATTTACAAATACAAAGAACAGTTCCAAGTCATGACTGATAATCCAGATAAAAATACCAAGTTGCACTGCAAGCCCGAGTTCGTTAATTAAATGTTCATCGTTATCTCCTCTTCTCTCCTAACGAATGGTCGTTTTTATGCTGGTTTTGGTATCCTTAGGGCATGGCGCGTTATCGTCATCGTACCCTAATTGTCAAGTATTTTATGACTAAAAAAATTGCTTCTAATTTTAAGATTAGAGTGACTTTAAATTTAAACCTATTATCCAAAAAAAGGCAAAATTACCCAATATCCTATTAGTCTAAATCTCGAATCAAAAATTTCAAATCGCAGAATAACTGAAATTATAATTTTACCAGTACTGCAGTAGGCTATTGTAAATCCTTCTCTGCTTTTTAAGGCTATCATAATGGTCTAAAAATTGCTTTTGGATATACCGAAAAACAGAGACCCTTTTGCATTTGTGTGGACTACCTAGATTTAGAACTCCAATAAATAGAATAGGCTACCTGTAACAAAGATTGAACATAAGAAATTTAAAGTAAAATAACAGAATAATATGGTACGGTACAATAGCTCATTATCCTGTTATCTGAATGCAGGAATATGATATCTAGTACGGCAATGCTGTAGGTGACAGGCCCAATCCAATTATTGCAAAATTGATTAATAATGCTAAATTTGACATATAACTCACCTTGTATTGCAAAACCTGAAGACCTACCAAACCCGAACCAGTAGAGTTTGCAACCTGCAGACCTGGGTAACAGTATTTCATTCATTTTTCCGTTCCGCAAACTTTCTGTTCTACAACCTTCAGACACCACAGTGTACAATCTAATGCTGATGTTACTTTATTTGTTTTGATAGCCAATTCAAATCAAGCCAAGATGCTTCCCAACTAAACTGGAATTCGCACCAAGTATAGTCATTTTTGGCGGAAAAGTACGTCAGGCTTTGGCGGAGTCAAAAAATTCAAATTCAGAATCCGTTGCGACCCGAAGTGTTTCTAAAACTTAGTAGCATTAAACAAATAGGTAAATTCAAAAGATATGACGCTCAATTAAAAAATTATATTATCCAACACATTTGCATATACTCTGGTGGTCCGATAAAAGATATAGTGATAGGCCTACAGCGAAAAACTACTGAATTTACCAGCAGTAACTGCAAGTAGACCGATCCGTTTGCGAATGAGTGCTGTCAGTTTAATCACCAGTTTACATGATGCCTAAAATAAAACATCCTTCCACTCGATATAATATTAGGTGCAATATTAAGGCTTTTTATCGTAAGAATATATTTTATATGCTGTGATGACATACAAGGCTGCAGGTTTACTTAGCATTGTATGACTTGCGCCTTGCTTCAATGCCAAATTGTTCGCAACAATACATTTGTCATTGGCATGCATTTTGTTGATAATATGTGTAAGACTGTCTTCCAAACTCTATGCTTTTGATTACTGCCAAGTGGACTTATTTTAACATAACCGCGGGATAGTTGTTTCCACTGAAACCGTTTTTGTATGTTACGTATGATTCACTGTTTATTTAACAACCGTATGGTTGTTTTATGAATATGCACAAGTATATATGTGTAATTTTACATTGTACAAGCGGTGAAATTACACCACGATGATTTAAAAATATGTTTAAATAGTTGTTCGTCTAAAAAACCGCCAAATGGGCGTATTTTTCACAAAGAAATGGCTGTAAAATTACAAATTTTTTTACAGTGCAGGTTTTTGAACAGTTCTATAGTTACCACGCCGCGCTACTATAGTGTGAGATCTGTCTCAAGCTGGTTATTATAGTCGAGGCCTTATTTTTTTTATTCAGTCTGTCATTACTATAGCGTACGACCAGGAATAGTAAATTTTCTAATATATTTCGTTCATTTAATTACAAATCGTATTTTGCAATGCGTTTGAAGTGTATTAAGATTGCTTCCTTGTTCAGAACGATCCGGTTCGTGTTTTGTAAAGTGAATGACTAATCTAAATAGGTGTCCTAATTTGTATAGTCCTAATTTGTATAGCAGGGGTCTGCAATTACAATTATCAATAGTCTGACAAATATCAATAGTTGTAAAATGCTTGTCTGAAGAAGTCTGACCTCGGTCAGACGAAACGTTACAGAAATATATTTGTGTAAGTCTGCAGCAAGACTCTTGAATTAAATATAAAAATAGAATAATATTTTATGTGTTGATACTTTATAGTGTCAATAATAGTCATAAACTCAATAACTAATTACATGTTTACCAAATGCTGGGGTCGTGAGAAATCAGAAGATAAGACTCTTTTAATAAGATTACAGAGACGAATAGCAATTACAGGACAGAAAAGTGTTTCACACGAATATCCCCACTACTTTTTCTTAAGCATATATATCTTAACGAGGGTGGAATTTAGTAATAGTGAGCATTTGCAAAGAATAAACATAACGAAATTTTTTTGACAGCGAATTTTTCCACAAAATTGTTTTTGCGAGTATTTAGATTTTATCTTTCTTTATACACGTCAATTGAATTTTTCTGTCAACGTCTTCCATTGAGTATGGTAGAGTACATACTTTCAAACTTTTTTTCAGTTCATTTCACTTCTCAATCGGTGCAATTCTTCGTCTGGTTATATTTTAATCTTTGATTTCACCTTTGCGACTGACACTTTTCTGATATGTTTACAAAATGAGGACTTTTTTGTGAAAAACAGTACCAATGTAGTATTGCTTCATTATTGCCTGAGCTTCTCCTTCGACTGGAGGATGTTTGAGCGCAGGTGTATGCAAAGTTTCCGAAGAACCGATATATGATACAATTTATTCAATGTTGATTTTATACCAATATCTGAAATTAATGCAATAAGGTATGCGGTCTCACTTAACGTGATTTCAGTTGCATAAAGACATAGAATTCAGTTCCTGGCCCTAACCCCGTTATCATCAGTTTCTTGTTGTAGTTTGTCAGGTTCGACTGCTTCACGTTTGGTGAGCTCGGTTGAAACAAGATCTTTCTCCAAAGATATCACATCATTTTCTAGAACTAAAAATTCGGATATTTTATAAAAAGTTTCCTGTAACATCGAACTTTCATGGTAGGAGAGATAGCAACTGTTCTTTAGTGACATGCATTAAACACTCCAACTTTATTACTTATCGATTTTAATCGGTAAGTATGTTGATAGGTATTTGTCTGTATGTCTGTTTGTCTGTTAGATGCACGCGATATCTCACGAAAGCGAGATTGAATCTGCTCCAGATTTTGCATGTGCATTCATCTTATTTCGGACCAGAAGCCTATTGATTTTGGGCAAATTATGTCGTATAATTAGCGAGTTATTAATTAATTATTGATGGGACACAATGTGTCACTATGGAGTAAGAGCGCTGTTTTGGGGGATCCCCTAACTTTCGATCGATAAGTCTTCGGTCTCTTAGGAAATATCCTAACCATTTACTGTTTCCTCGTTTGGTTTTACTGATGAATATGAACATAGCTACTTCAATATGTATATCTACTATGCAGTTATGGTTAGACTACCGATAACTAGACCTATACTCGCCGTTATTATCGTTGTTTTTTTGCCAACAGACACATTAAAAACTAACAATGAATAAACAGTTGGTAAGGTATTTATACTTTGCTTTATTAGTTATTCTTGCTATTGGAGCAGTACATTTATTCAACAACATAATTTCGATGAAGATTTTGCAATTCATAGAAAGTTTGAAAATGATGGATAACCGGTAAGAATACCATGTAACATTTCTGTCTGATAATGCAACCGTCTTAGACGGTATACTTTGCGCTCCGGAAGGATTCGTACCAAGATGACGCACAATCTAAACAACCCTAAACTGGTACACATACTATGTTCAGGTTGGGCGACATCTTGGTACGAATACTTCGGGAGCACCGTATACTTTAATAAACTAATGCAAGACAACTAAATGAGCATATTGCTTCTCCGCTTGTGGAAATTGGTCTGAAGGAATGTTGAAATTTCGATGGTTTCGTTGTCTCATTAGGTTATTTCAGATTGGCAACCGTCACAAATGTAAACAAGGTATGCCTGGAAAATAACTATCCAGTAAAGGAGCACGGTTTTTAAACAACGCTGGTCCATAATTTTTTGAATAGAAATGTTTGACAACAACGGGCCACAACATGCCCTATCGTTACCAATCGCTCTTTACTGATATTATTCCGTTTTCATATTGACTTTTGTTTTTAATTTCAATTTTTCCCCTGTTCAATTACAAATTTAAAATGTCGAAGCAATATTACCCCATTCAAGGTAACAGTTCTAGCAGAACCTTGTATACATTCGCTTTATTTGCAATATTTTACAGCTTACTGGAGTATCAAGGTGTTTTGGACAACAGTGGAAAAAATATTATAATTGAAAACGTGAAATTAGCGGATGAACCGCCTATGAAACACGATGTGTCGATCGTAACACAACTCGATGGTTCAAGAATAAAAAATGTGGCGAAAATGTCGCATAGATGGAAAGGACCAATTCAGGCAACCGTGGTTATAGTTTCGGTAAAGTTATTCCTTGCGATTTTTCATCCAATCGGCGGACATAGATTTTATAATCTACCAAATTGTATTCAGGTAAATTTGTGGAATATGACAATGGAAGTTGTGGAAAACCTGAGAGTTTGTCAAAACGACATCAAAAGATACGTCTCATGGCACATACTAATCATGACAAATGCGAGCGAAACCAGAACTAAGTTTATTTACACTAGTCAAGAACAGAAGTTACGAAACACACCCAAGAGCGTTCGAGAAGAAACATTGTGCTATTGGGATCTCGAACATAAAATGGGTAAATTAGCAAGAAAAATGATACATTCCGGACCAAAAGGAACCAAACGAGATCACATAGCATACTACCCTCAAACCGTTGCTATGAACGTTGGATTGAAGGCATTGACTACTGATTTTTTTCTTGCTATTGACAGTGATGTTTTCCCCAGTCACGGAGCACGTGACGGTTTCAATAGAATGGCTGAAAAACTCGATCTTTTCAACCCCGCTGAAATGCCTCCACCTTATAAAAAGCTCCAGCAATGGCCAAGCGATGTAGATATAGAGGAATCAATTTGTGCTCGGCATAAATATTTGAAAAATCCGCCTCATGATGTTTATGTTCTCCCAACATTCGAAGCCAACAAAAAACTTCCTTATAATGTTTCATCTTTAAAAACAGCGTTTATGGAAAAGAAAGCAAGAGCTTTCTACTCCGCTTCCAGCGATATTTACGCAAGAACAGATCACAAGAAATGGATCGAGTTATCAGATATGGACTCTAATGTAGAATGCTCATATGAAATCGAGTATGCTCGTAACTATGAACCGTTTTTTATTGCTAGGAGAGGGGTGGCACTTTTTAATGAAACGTTCATTGGACATTCTCAAGTAGATGTGCACCATGTAAGTGAAGTTATACTTGCTATTTTTTTACAATTTACTCGTTGCATGTACACTGTGTCTCTATTTTGTCGTTCACGTCATCTCACAAAACATCTGATCAACAGATTACGGGAAACTGATGCAATCATCAGGGTGGGTATAGGAGAGTCGATTGAAAAATAATAGCAGTGTTTATCAATACATCTGTAAGCGCCGTCGAGATTTGACAAGTTGAAAACTGGAATCGTAAAATAATATCTGTCGATGTTTCATAAATATGATTTTATTTCTCACAAACATGAAGGCAATTTTGTTTTGTAAATACATCCTCCGTATTAATCAATAAGCATCTTGGCAGAACTTTCATTCGCATACTTTAATTTTTCGTTTTACAACGACCATTCATTTTCAAAAGCTGCAAAAGCTTCTTTATATGAATCATAGCTAGGCAATATTTCATTAGCAATATACTTTAAGTAAAACGTTCGGAATCGCTCTAATAACAATTAATTAAGCTAAAATATATAAATAACGTTGGGTTTGTGGAAAATATTCAGTTTTTATTGTCTGTTGTTGGTTTGAATACTATGACCTTGCACTTTAAAAAATCTGTATAAAACTATACATTTCTTTATTAATTTTAGGTTGCCCTGCTTGCTGCTGTAGGATACAAGTTTAAAATTTTAAAAAACGCCTTTCTTGTCCACGACGGCATGAAATCTTTGAATCCTGTAACTGGACAAAGACGCAAAGAAGCATGGGAGATGTGGGCAACATGGGAAGCTTATCTAGATAATTTGGACAAAACATATCGACAAAGATAACGTATATAATATATATAAATTGCATATTAGTATTTTACAACCGACTGTTATAAATATATTAAATGGATGCATTGGCTTTAACATAATTTTGGTAGTTTAAAATATTGAGCCACCACGTTCTATTTTTGCCAGTCGGTTTTGGCGTGCTCGTTTCAAACTAATTTCATAAGAAGAGAAGGCTGAAGTTATAATTACAATGCATGTTATGAATTCTCTCAGGGTCGCATAATCACGACGTAGCAATAGGAATTGTTATTCGTTAGGACTGCAACACGAAATAAAAACTTCATTGAAACCTTCATCTTGAGGCTTTGGTAGGAATATACTGCTAGACCAAGCAGATTTCGACACAACAGCCGTTTATAGAGGCAGGATGTGTAGTGTGGTAACTACATATGCGTGTTATTTGGATTTTTAAAAAAACTTCGAAGTCTTCTCAAGATCCACTGCACATTTTAATCTGTCTCCTGTTCATTTTATTCGGCTCCTATATCACTCGATTCCTCACTTTTACGTTTCAAATTGAGCAAATTGGCAGTCGAGATGTCTATCTTTATTATCTCCACGTTCTAACAACGGATAAAATTACTTATCTAGAATTGAAAATAAAGTAAGTGATTAGACAACCGTTTCGATTTATAAGTTTACCGCAGACAATTCTTTCCACCAAAGTTACACTTTAATTACGCATTGTATTTGTAGATTTGTTTAAACTCTGATTCATTCAGCATTTTAACCCACTTTTTTTTTAAATGAGTGATAATTATGGTAGAAAAATTCACCACGAAGGGTTAGTTCATACTTTAGTAATGAACAAGATCCGTCACCGATTTTAGGCTAGAGCGAAATGTTAACAAGAAAACAAGTTTCTGCCAAGGTCCGAACCACTTTGCGGGGACCGTTTGTAAACGCGATGGCAACTACACTACGGAAAGACATCAGGGTCTGTTTCAAGCCGATTCTACAAACCACGGGTGTATGCGTTTCCGTATGCAGAAGTCACCACGATCGCCTAACACGCAAAATATCATTGTTAAGTCTCCCAAGAGTATTGTTCATTATAACATGACCCACCGGCGTATGCGTTTCTGTAGTGTAGTGGTCATCACGTTTGCTTTACACGCGAACGGTCCACGTCGTTTTAAAATTGGTATTTATCTAGTTAGTGTTAGGAATGATTTGAAAATAGGAATTTTCCAGTGCAATCTTCTTTTTTTAATTTTGAGCGGTAGCGAGAGTGTTTATTTTTTGCCTGGCTCCAGGAAAGATCCGAAATTTTGAAACGAACGATTTCATGGTATTCAAAGTAAAACAAAAAGTGGTAAGGGCGTCTTTTTCAACATTATTTTGCTCTATTCAAGAGCTATTACTGATAATAATTGGCCGTTTCGGGGCTTACTATCAATTCATCCTCCAAATTAATCATCCGATTTGACAAAAATGCGCGATTGTATAATCTGGAGAACTCGGCGTCGAAGTAAGTCTATAAAAGGGATTTTAACGTAACGTTAAATATCAGTAGCTGCTTATATATTGCCTTGTTCGTAGCAAAATCGGGCAAATAAGCATCCGTAATACGTCATATCAAAAAAATTGGGTTGCCAAATTTTGGGCTGGCTACGCTCTTACCGATGTGAATAAAGAAGTCGATTATCACGGAAACATCAATTCTTATCAATACTTGGGAGTATAAGATTGGGATTTCAAATTTGAAATTTGGGAATAAAAAATGAAAAAAAGTTCACACATTTATTTCTTGTAGAAACTAAGCATAAACAACAGACAGGCTAAAAATGGATGTTTTGTACAAAGCTTCCACCAACGCTTAACATGAGAAAGTTAGTAAGTATTCAATTAGAAATGCATATTGCGCCGAACATTTACTATTTTCATTCATTCCGAACCGTGAAAGTGAAACGAAAAAATAGCTTACTTAGTTAGTAGAAAAAAATATCAGTCTTCAACATATAAATGCGAAATGTATATTGTATTCCAGGCGGAGAAATTATTTGCAATCGGTGCCTTTTTAATAATAAAATTGCATTATCTGACGGACACAGCCACAAGGCAAACCAGCCAACCCGGACTACAGTTTAGGTTTTTACTGGTACTCTCTGTTTGGTTTCTGCCACCGACCGGATGCCATCCTTGTAGGTTATAATTACCTGGTACCCGACTTCCTTCTTGTGTGTTGCCGGCGGTCTGGTTCGTGCCACTGACGCCGTCCTACCAACTCCAGTTCAGTAACTTCAGTTACTGGTTTCTTGACTTCTTTAATGTGTTCTTGGTTACTCTGCTTTCTGCCGCTGACCCGGTCCTTCCCACTCTGCCTAGTTCACAACTAACTTCCTTCCCGTGTCATGGCCACTCTGTCCTCTACGTGAAGTGTCGAGGAAATAAAAAAAAAAAGTGGAGAGAGAGTAAAAATCAGCGAGTGCGAGTGCCATCCGTCTTATTGAACCATAATTTTATTCCAATTTTTTTATTTTGTTTTATTACGAGTTCGGGGATTAGCTAAGTGACTCCCGTAGTATTTGTACATGAAATTATGCCCTAACCCTAATGTGGTACATATGATACGTTGCGCCACTTTGGTACGCATACTTAAGGTGCACCGACTATCGTGTCCATATATTTGAGTATCGTTCTCTTATTAATTATAATTTAGTCTGATGGTGAAGATGAATTGAAGGAGGTGAAGTAATTGCTGACGTGTTAGTATTTGCGTGGTGCAATATACTGCAAGAAAGTATTGTCTGAAGCAATAAGGTAGCTAGTGGCACATTGTGAAGCAATATGATTTAGCCTGTAGGCAATATACTTTGTGTATAAAAACAAAAGTGCACAACGAAATAAAGATCGCAGAAAATCTAATTTTTCAAAGTATACAATGTAGTAAATTTCTACTAGACTCCGTATTATAGAGAGCGACTCATACGTTGAGTAAGTCTATTGGCGCTTTTCTAATTTGGTGTTAGCAAAATGTAAAAGGGTGACGTTTCTATGCTGACAAACTTAATCAAGGAATAATGATATGGAAAGAGCGCTGGCGTATAGTGAAAAATATTATCACAGGTCGAAATCAAATCTAGAAACACATTAGCGCTTTGTTTAAAGGAGTTTAACAGTCCTCAAATTCTCCTCTTTGTTCATGTGTCGCAATTCGAGAAATATTCTTTTCCTTTGATGTGTCTGAATAGCTGAATCAATTAACTGGCCAAATTTAATTTACATCGCCAATCCGAATCGATATGAAAGATAGTTCCCAGGTTATTCGTTCCTAATGCGAAGTCTTGAATACTTAGAAAAGCCATAAGCAACTAGAGCAGTGTGGTTACCAGACTTTTAATATCGTGATGCCCACAGTCTGTACGGCGAATTATGTTAGGATATTCATACAAACTTCGTAACTATATGACCAGGCTCATTGACTAGATGCGAGCATTGAATTTCCAGCTTTTACGCGGAATATAATATCCCACGGATTTCTCAATTCTTTTTCTCATACAATTTAGCCGAATCGTTTAATTTCAGAACGTTAAATAAGTCTTTGACAATATTTAATTAGGCAAAATCGCAAAAGGGTTATTTACCCTGCACACTGATCTTCATAATGAATTTCAACATTTATTTTGTCATTACTTGTGACAGGAGCCTTTGTAAGTCAAGTAGAAGTTGCCAGCGCCTATTTTTTTTTATAGAAATTTTGATAAAACTATAACGCACTATATTGTTTTGGTTTCTAATAAATACGTGCCTCTCGCTCTTTTTTTACTCCATGTATATTTTGACATTTCAGTTTTGCAATGCGAGAATTATCCTATTTTATTTTTGAGTTGACCTGACATGACTCAACACGGTATGTAACTATGATTTTTACAATATAATATATAATTCCCATTATTTATCCTTTCAGGGGAAAAATGGGTTTGAAAAATACTCGCAAAGGATTGCATATATCGTTCAACTCTTCTTATCATATAACGAGGTATCAAAAGAAGTATTGTTTTCCAAGTTGTAATACATTTGTTTGTATCCAGCCAAGTAGACAGTTGTTTATGGGGATTTGGAGAACACGGGCTGTAATATTCGTTCCTGAAGGTGCCGTCCCGTCAGAGCATAATAAGAAAAAGATCGCGTTCACAAGTTAATTCTAGTATATCAACATCTGTGGCACATCCAAGTGAACACCGTTTTAGAGTTGGCACAGCGTGACCACCACTACAATCTTGTTCAATATTTGTATCTATGCGGTTGACATACAAACGAAACTGATCAAAATTATATGAGGAATGTATTACAGGAACAAAACAAAACTGCATCATTTGTTTTGTCAATTATTGAGAAACTTTAAAAAAATTCATCCAATTGATTGTTAATTTTCAAAAGAATTCTTTAGGGCTTTACGCGTAGCAAGAGTTATCTGCAAACTTCAGAATATGAAATTCATCTACTGAGCAACAACATTAAATAATTTAGTTACATAGCAAGATGTTCATTTTAGGTAAATAATAAAACAAAAATATTACATTTAGGATATTGTCGTTGAATAGCCATAAATTTTACTTGATCAATTCATAAAAAATATTTTTATGGTATTATTTGCTATACAGCATCAATCACATCTATTTTGAATCATTTTTAGTTGAATAGTCATAACAAAAAACAAAAAAAATGAAAATTCCTCCTGTTTCAGAATATATTCTTATATTACATGCAACGGGTCAGTAAAAACCTCACTCGTTTTTAAAATTAGTTCCGGGCTGGGTTGTATTGTGTCCGAGCATTTTCTTGAAAAGGGCGAATGCTGCTTAATCTACGTTGTAATTGTTTGCACCAAAATTGTTCAAGGAGGAAATATTGTTGGCGGTGAAAATCTTTTGAACTTGTCCCATCCAATTCATTTTCAAAGTTATATAACGCGGTCCGCGTTAATCAACCCTGTTAAATTCTAATGACGTTATTTTCCAGAATTCGTATGACCCAGCCGGTGAGAAATATATCATAAACGAATTACGTCGGCGATTAAATAAGGCAAGGAATACAAATATTTAACAGTAGTGATTTTTTATAAACAATGATGGCCAAGATTATCGCATAGTCCGTATAGTC